CACCGTGCCCGCTCCACATGGCGGCGGCCGAACGTCGGGCGCCTGCCGGCCCGCGCGCAGCGCCCCTCCTCCCGCCTCCGGCTCCTGCCCAACCCGCGAGCGCCGCTCCGCCGGCTGGCAGCCAATCGCGGCCCTCCGTCTTCCGGCTCCTTCCAATAGGGGAAGGCCGGGGGGAAGCGGCCGGTGCCATTTTGAGTGCGGGCGCTGCCCGGCCGCCCTCAGGTGAGGGGCGGGGCCCGGCACGGCAGCCCAGCCCAGCCCAGCCCAGCCAAGCCGCTGGCCGACATGCAGCCCGTCGCGCTCCTCCTGCTCTGCCCGCTGGCCGCGGCCCTGTCAGGTAAGGGGAGGCAGCATGTCCTGCTCCCCGGCCGGACGGGCGGGGGGCCCCGAGCGGTGCCCGGCGGCAGCCCCGCGCCCCCCGGTGAGCGTCGGCGTCTCCCGGCGGCGGCAGGGCGCTTCTGGCACGTCACCGACCTCCACTGGGACCCCGACTACGAGGCGGCGGCGGGTGCCGGGCAGGTATGCCCCTCGGCCGGCTCCCGGGCCGTGCCCGCCGCCGGGCACTGGGGCAGCTACCTCTGCGACGCGCCCTGGCGCCTGCTCGCCTCCGCAGTCCGCGCCATGAGGAACCGCCTGCAGCGGCCGGACTTCGTCCTCTGGACCGGGTGAGGATGGGTCGGCGTCCCGCCAGGAGGGGGGAATCTGCTGCCCGGCCACCCCCCCAGCAGCGGCGGTTGGAGGGGCTCTGAACCCGCCACTGGTGGGGCTCTCCTCAGCTCGCCTTCTCCGCCCTCCTGCTGCAGTCCTGGGGGCTGGGGGACGGTGTCTGCCTCGTTAGAGAGATGCTCCTCGGAGAGGAGAAACACCAAATATTCCAGGCATTGACAGTGGGGGTTCTGGGGTCACGCATTGCCCTCAGGCTGTGGCACGGTCCTGCCTGCTCAGAGGGTTGCCAGGCTTTGGATGGGAGAAGGGGCAGCTGGAGGGCTGGGGCTTGTGGGTGATCCAGGCCTCTATGTGGCAACTGTTTTGAAGAGGTAAGGTAAGGATGTGCCTTATGATGCGAAGTGGAGGCTTGGGGGAGAGCATAACTACAACAAGGCCTCTCGACGCCAGCAAGAGGCTCCCAACAAGCCCCAACAGTGAGAAACAGTAAGGTAAGGAAAGGATTGTCCTTCCTTTTCTTTTTAATTGTTGCCAGCCCTGTCTGACTTCACACAAGTTCTGAGTACCTGGAATGCTTGAGGGAATGGGATGTGCTCTTTCTGTTGGTGCACCTAATCCTGCCTGTTAGAGGCAGTGGGAGGAGAGCTTTGCAAAATAGACGTGCAGCATTTCTTCAAACTGTGAAGAGGCATCTGGGAGACTTGTCTCAAAAAGGGTCTGTTTTGCTTTATAAGTATGAAGAGCCTCCCCATGTTTTCTCCTAGTATGGCCTCCAGAAGTGGGCACCCTATTCCACAGGAGGCCTCAAAAGCACTTGCAGACAGTAAAAGTTTATTTTGCGTGATTATTTTAAGTATATATGTCCCCTTGTAACATTTGCTGCTCTTCTAACAGTGCAACATCAACCTGTAACCTGCTGTAAGCTCTAGTCCTAGTTTGTAGTGCTGTTGCCCGACCCCACGTTTTCATTTTCTGTCTCTGCAGATGATTGTTCCTACTGAGAAGTAGTTATCGGTCCTTATGACTTTATGTTGACTTTTCTTTTTCCTTCAAATTATTTCCCCCAATTCTTTGACATCATGTTGAATTTTGATCTTCCTCTTCAATGGGCTTGCTGACAGCCCAGCATCATCTACAAATGCCATAAGTATATTAGTGAAAACATAGAATTGTGTGTCTGCTGCACTTTTAGAGGCATTCCTTTGTTTCATTTTAATGAGAGTTGTTATCCTGCTGTTCAAACAGCTGTGCAAACAGCTTTGCTTCACTATTGCTGATCAGATGTTGACCTGAGATTGCAAAATGCTGTTCCTTGCAATCTTTCTAGTCAGCTTTAGTGCCTATTAAATGCACCGAGGCAGAGTGAGCCTCCATTTCCTATGCTTGTGTACGGATTTTTCAAGGTAGAATAAAGTGGAGCCTGTTTTCACTTTGAGCAATTCCTTGAAACTCCTTCAGTGCCTTGGCCAGTTAACATAGTGCTGGTTCCTGCCCCCAAATGCTTTAACTTTATTTTCTAGAAGGCTCAAAGAAAGAGCAGTAAGCAAGTTTCTCTGCCTTGCTTATGTGGTAGGTTGACCCTGGCTGGAGGCTAGGTGTCCACCAAAGCTGCTCTATCACTCCCACCCCCTCAGCTGAACAGGGGAGAGAAAATATAACAAAGGGCTCGTGGATCGAGATAAGGACAGGGAGACATCACTCAACCAATTAGTCACAGGCAAAACAGACTCTACTTTGGGAAAATAAACTTAATTTATTGCCAATCAACCAGAGTTGGGTAATGAGAAATAAAACCAAATCTTAAAACACCTTCCCCCACCCCTCCCTTCTTCCCGGGCACAGCTTCACTCCTGGATTCTCCACCTACCCTCCCCCTCCCCCCCCCCAGTGGTGCAGGGGGATGGGGAGTGGGCGCTACCATCAGTTCATCACTTCTTGTCTCTGCCGCTCCTTCCTCTTCAGGGGCAGGACTCCTCACGCTCTTCCCCTGCTCCACCATGGGGTCCCTCCCATGGGAGACAATCCTCCATGAACTGCTCCAGCGTGGGTCCCTCCCATGGGCTGCAGTCCTTCAGGAGCACACTGCTCCAGCGTGGGTCCCCTGCAGGGTCACAAGTCCTGCCAGAAAACCTGCTTCATGGGCTCCTCTCTCCACAGATCCGGAGGTCCTGCCAGGAGCCTGCTCCAACGCAGGCTTCCCACAGGGTCACAGCCTCCTTCAAGCATCCCCCTGCTCTGGCATGGGGTCTTCCATGGGCTGCAGGTGGATATCTGCTCCACTGTGGACCTCCATGGGCTGCAGGGGGACAGTGTGCCTCACCATGGTCTTCACCAGGGGCTGCAGGGGAATCTCTGCTCCAGTGCCTGGAACACCTCCTCCCCCTCCTTCACTGACCTGGGTGTCTGCAGGGTTGTTTCTCTCACATGTTCTCACTCCTCTCTCTGGCTGCAGTTGCTGTGCCCCCTGCAATTTTTTTTCCCTTCTTAAATATGTTATCACACAGGTGCTACTACTGTCGCTGATGGGCTCAGCCTTGGCCGGCAGTGGGTATGTCTTGGAGCCAGCTGGCATTGGCTGTATCGGACACAGGAGAAGCTTCTCACAGAAGCCACCCCTGTAACCCCCCGCCACACAAACCCAATACAGCTTATCACTTCAAGCATTTGACCTGTTAGTCACAGACAGTGACTGTGCTGCTTTTATTTTTCTAGAGATGATACTCCTCACGTCCCCAATGAGAAGCTTGGAGAAGAAAAGGTTCTGCACATAATAGAAAATCTGACTTCTCTGATAAAAGAGACATTTCCAGGTAGGATTTGTGGGGATGAGAAGGGGAGGAAGGGCACAGAGTCTCATAAGAAGAGCTTACCAGGGTGGAAAAATGACAGAATTGGAAAGGGGAAAGGCATGGAAGGCCTGTGGTCAATGGGAGTTGTTTGTCCTCTTCCTAGTTGCTGTATGGCATGAGGTGTGTCTGAATTGAGGTGTCTGATTGCGCACTCATTGTTTCAGGTTAACTCACTCAGAAGAGAGGAAAATAAACATTTCTGTAATTAGTCATTAAGACAGAAAAGGCTGCAAGTTTTCCTCACACTTAATCCATGTCAGCAGTGGAGGAAGGAGCGTTATTGGTGGTGAAAGCTCACTGATTCATCTGTAAAGCCATGGCTCTGGGGTGGCTTGTCCCAAGGAGGGATGGTCTTTGCAGTGTTGTAGCGCCAGTCAATGCAACCATATGGCTGTGGTGTGGATGATTCGCTTTTGCAAAGCTCTCAATTCATGCTGTTCTTTCCAAGTCTGTGAGTGTCTCAGGGAGCTTTGGTGCTGAGGAACTCTGAAGCAAGCATGGATTCCTCTGTGCCTCCTTTTCTCTGTCTCTAGATACTAAAGTCTATGCAGCGATGGGCAATCATGACTTCCACCCCAAGAATCAGTTTCCAGGGAAGGAGCACAGGATCTACAACCGAACAGCTGAACTGTGGCGTTCCTGGCTGAATGATGCTTCCACTCCTCTTTTCAGAGCAGGTATGCACCACTGGCTCATGTTGGCAGCTCTCTGGGAGATGGGGGTGGTTAGGAGAATACCATGAATGGTTTTCCCTGCTTCTATGCTCAGAGCAACAGTATTTATAGAGTATTTGCAGAGGAAGGGTCCAATTTAATGCTGATTTCTGGCACTGAGTTCTCCTGCTTGTGAGAAAATAAATTTCTTTATGCTTTACTCTCTCCTGCTTTCCTCGAGTTACTGGAAAGTGTCCCTTCGGAGAATGCTGAGTGGTCAGCTTCAGTGGAATTAAAAAGATCTTTTAAGAAAGCTGCAGCACTTTGGCTCTCTAGAGCTGCCCCGCTCCTGGTACTGCACACTGTCCCCATGCAGGGCCTCCCTTCACTTTGAGAGGCATAAGCATGGCAAGAGGCACATGGGGAAGAGTCACTCCAAATCCCCATCCTGGGGTGGTCAGAGCGCTGCTGGCCCCTTGTCCAGACAGTGACTCTGCTGTGGCTGTTGCCAAGGAATGCTGAGAGGGATGGAAACAAAGGGATCTGGGGTCACAGCAATCAGCGTGACCAGACCTCCAGCTCTTTCCCTGTCGGTTGCATTTTTCAGGAGCTTTCTACAGTGAGAAGCTGCCCAGCCCAAGGACAAGGGGGCGAATGGTTGTGCTCAATACCAATCTGTACTATGACAAGAATAATGAGACAGCTGGTGAGGAAGATCCTGGAGGGCAGTTCCAGTGGCTGGAAGAAACACTGACCAATGCCTCTAGAGCAGGTGAAATGGTATTAAAAGAAATGAATAAGCAAACTCTGTAGAGGGCTTCTCCCAGCCTGGAAGCTCTTCTTGCTCCTGCTCTCCCCTCTGTGCTGTCACAGCACAGTGAGGGAAGTGTGGGCTTTGCATTCAGTGCAACTCCTGCTTTTGTAGGTCTACATTGTGGGGCACGTCCCTCCTGGCTTCTTCGAGAAGAAACGAGGCATGTCCTGGTTCCGGAGTGGCTTTAATGAACGATATTTGAAAATCATGCAGAAGCACCACAGGGTGATTGCTGCCCAGTTTTTTGGGCACCATCACACAGACAGCTTTCGGATGTTTTACAGTGATACAGGTACCGGTTCTGGCCACGCGAGCATTTGTGTGATAGCTCTGCCAATGCCCAGAAAATCACTGTTGATTAGAGTTTTCAGTGGCTGTTAGCTGAATGTAGCTGAGAAGCCAGAAAAGGCTTGTGAAATGCTTTGATCAACAAGAGACAACAGTGGTTCCGATCTCCACCCCCAGCCTGTAGGTCCAGCCCTCCTTCCTGTTTACCTTCCATTTTGTTGTTTCCCCTCAATGCCTTGCAACTTCTTGCCTGCTCCCTATTGATGGGTTTGGACATCAGCTGAGACATAAGGGAGCAGTTGCTAATCTTTGCATTGGGGTTACGGGTAGTGCTCTGGGTCTCCTTTGCTGAGCGTGGTTCTCTTGCACACCCTCACTGCAAGAGTCTTCGACAGCAGTGGAAAGCCTTTTCTCAGCTGCAGCAGTCCCATGTTCAACCCCTGATGCTGTTCAATGTGCTGATCTTTATGTGTGTGCTGTTGTAACTAGGGCTGGTGACAAAGCTGCTGTTTGCAGTGTGATTGGTTCCCGGGGTGCTCACTGCAGCGTGGACAGGGTGTGATACAAGCAAAGGTCCCTATTCATGGGTTGTTTTGCCTTTCTGTTAAGGTTCTCCAATCAATGTCATGTTCCTGGCCCCTGGAGTGACTCCCTGGAAAACAACATTACCTGGAGTGAACAATGGAGCCAACAACCCTGGGATTCGGGTGATTGACTATGATCCAGACACCCTTCAAGTGTTGGTAGGGGATCCCCATGTGCTGCATCCTGCGGTTCTAGAAGAGTACTTTAATTCCTCCATGTGGTTTTAACAGGCAGGACTACAGGACCCAAGCAGCTATGAAGGAGAGGACCCAAACCAAGTTATTCCAGATTCATGTCTAGCACACAAATTTAGTGAGAACATCAGTGAGTGAAGGCAAGGTGACTGCAGTCAGCTGGCCCAGGCCTTTTGCTGGGATGAGTTCCCCGGGGCAGTGCAGGATGGTTTTGTCGTGTTCTTCATGTCTGTAGCTAGTTTCCTTTGATGCTTGTTACTACCCAGGTAATGTGGATTGCACAACTCCTCTTTGAGGACTAACAGACTTGTCAAACTGCCTCCAAAAACTTTTAACCATCTAGAACATTATTTGGGTCCCCCTGCTTGCTAAATTTATTCATTTGTAATGGATCTGAATTTAGGTGAATTGTAGGGGCAGCTTCTGTTTCCTCTGTCTCTTACTTGCAAAGAGGTGGAGGATGGGGTCTTTGTGCCTTTCTTTGCCATGGATAAAGCAGCTCTGTAGATGCTCTGTTTGCATGTTTACAGCATGAGAAATGAGTGTGGAAATACACTGTGGAAGGCTAGGGAGCTAGTGAAGCAGAGGGAAAGACTGAGAACAGAAGTTGTGAAAAACTTTATTTTTTTAGTTTGTTCACGGTTGAGAAAATAACTTCACTCAGTAAGTAACACTACTTAACCTTTGCTTCTGCCAGTGGATAGTGTTGGTAGTAAATAAGAGTGATTTTGAAGCAGGGCATACTCAAACTTCCTGATGTTTGGAGATAAAAGTCAAGCAGAGAAAAGCCATCCCTTCATCCCTTATGAAACAGGATGCTTTTGTGGTGAGTTCTGGAGGCTTTCATCTGAGGTGCCTGTCCCCAGGTTCACACATCTGTAGAAAGCACCTGTCGGGAGGCAGCTCACCCCTTGGGCAGGGAGATGCGCTGCCTGCAGTGAATACATGTGTCTGTGGTGCTGCACACCAGCATCTGGGAGAAGTGGATGATTGCATCCGAGCCAAACATTTCACTCAAGGGCCGATCCTTTCCTGACTTGTCCTTGTTTTGTTTTTCTCTCCCTGTAGGATATGGTGACTTACTACTTGAACCTAACTCGTGCCAACATGATGGCCTCAACGTGGGAGGAAGAGTTCCCAACATGGGAGGAAGAGTATAGGCTGACAGAAGCGTTCCAAGTCCCTGATGGCTCTCTGCGCTCCATGCAAACAGTGTTGGAGAGGATATCAAAGGATCCGCACTATCTGCAGCAGTACTATGAGTTTAACTCTGTCAGATATGACCTCACCCCATGCAAGGAGGCCTGCCGTGTAGATCATGTTTGTGCCATCAGAGAAGTTGATTTTACAAAATACAATGAGTGTGTTAAAACCAGCAGCTCTGCCTCTGCCATCATCAGTGTTCAGCTTTTATTTTTCTGCTTGCTCTTAGGACTTCTTAGTCCCCAGCAAGTGCTGTAATGACTGAGAGCAAGAGAAAATGAAGAGAGCACGAGTTCACGATGCACATGAATTGGCAATTGTGAATGCTTTTGGCATTGAGAACTTACTCTGAAACCAAGACAAAATCAGTGGCTTTACTAAAAGCTCTGTGATGTTGATCTGAAATCTAGAAAAGCTTGATGTATTGGGAAAGGGCAGTGATTGCTACAAAGTCTTTTTGTGCCAGACTGACTTGCATCAGAGAGTCTGTCCCCCTTACGCTGTGACTTCTGAGGTAGTCTCACAAATCAGGTGGAGACCAGGCTTCCCGGTGGACTTTAACTTACCGTGTATGAGAGCTGTGAGCTGCCACTTGTTCCTGAGGAGTCTGCTCCCAGGTGGGTTTCTCATGTTGGCACACGCTTTGCTTCTGGAAAGACCACACAACTGGTGACCTGGAAGGTCTTGTTTTGGTGGCCTTGTACAGCAGCAGCCCTGCCTTCGGTGTATGAGCAGAGCCAGGTGGGATTAGTTCTTCCTTTGACGGTGTATGAACTGCAGCAAGCTTGGGCCATGACTTTCATGTGTCAGTGCCCAAGACAAGGCTCCAGGGCAAGAAGCTTGATTATTATTATTTAAGTTTTTATTTATTTTTTCCCCCAATTGCTAAACATAAACAGCTTTTCCCTTTGTGCTCTCTTAACTTGCATCCACTTAGTTTCTTCCTTCAGCTGGGCATTGCAAGCTGACCTTGAACGCTTTGGTGATTTACCAACCTTGGGCTTTGCTAGCTTGTCTGAGAACCTTGAGGGAACCAATACAAAGTGATGGCATCGGACCCTTTAGGCTTGGGTGAAGGAGACACAAGGAATATTGGTGTTGTCTGTGAAAGGCGGCTCTGGGCTCTCCCGGAGTCTGACACGGCAGAGAGGGAGCTCGCAAGGCAGCAGGGTGTGCTCAGAACACGTGGCCTGAGCACACGAGGGACCCAGAAAGGCACGGGCAGGGTCCGAGAGCGGAGGAGGCTGTGGGGGCGAGGACCCAAGCCCGCCAGTGGAACAGCGTAGGCTGGGCACACAGATGTGGTGGCGTGCCCACTGGGGCGGCTGCGGTGGAACAGATGCGTTGCATCCGAAGAGGAGCGAGGGCGCAGGAGGAACGGCCGCCTGCAGTGCTGGGGCTTCGCGGCCCTGGTTGGCATTTGCCCCTGGTACCGCTTCAGAGCGTGTGTCTGGAGCGGTGTGGCGGGTGCCTGAGGGCAGCTGTCGCCGGTCGTGCCAGGGCGCTCCTGGCCGGCCCTAGGGCAGCCAGTTCGCTGTGGGAGCCTGAAACCGGCCGGGTCCCCTCTGCCAGTGCCTCGGGGCTAGCTGCCCCTGGCTGGGCCCTGTGCCCGTAGCTCCGCTGCACCGGAGCTCCCTGGGGTGAGCGCTGCCCTGAAAGGGAAGAGCGGGGGAGACGCTCGGTAGCGCTGGCCTCAGCCCTGTCCTGAAATCCTCCCGCTTGCAACGGGACTACAAGGCGGACGCTTCCCAGACCCGCTTCCTGGGGTGGCGTCGATCCCCTGGTTTCTTTTGAAGCAGCCTCCTGGGGAGGGGCGCGGGTGGACGCTCGCGTCGAGGGCTGCAGGCCTTCCCGCGGCGGAGGCGGGGGGTTAGCTGCCGTGAAGGACCGGAAAGGTCGCGGAGAAAGCAGTGCCGGCGAGCGCCGGTACGTGGCTCGAGGCCGTGATCTGTCTGGCGGGGGAGTGGTAGAGCCGCCG